TTTAGTGGGTGATGCGCCCTCGACGCGTAGGTCACCATCTATACATTGGGTATATGAGTGTGCATAGTACGAACGTTGACGGCCCCCCGAAAAAGCCGGTGTGAGTGGTGTGCCAATACCTGCTTGTTACTCAGGCGCTGCGGCGCCTTCACTGTGGGCTGTAAGCAAGCACTGACACTAGTTCGGTTTAACGTTGTGTGGTCTAGAGCAAGGTAAAAGAGATACACGGCTTGCTAGGCAGAGCATCCCGTCAGGATGGAGTAGAGACCTGGGACCCTCGAAAGGGAACCGTTCCAGGACCTACAAACCCATCCCCGGGCGTCCTCCGTTCGTCGCTCAACCCGTGCGCGGAAACCAGTGAAGCGCCCCCCAAGCCCAACCAATCAACACTTCGACACAACCCTGTGTGAGAGCGAGAGCACCCAGACACCCGCCCAGACGCACGGGCATGCGCCTAGGCTTCGGTGAGGTGGAGGTACGACTTTGTCGGGGAATATCCAACAAACATTCTTGTCTCCTCCGACAAGTTTTCCATTCTTGCCGCGCACCCAGATGCTTTAAGCCAAAGCTACAAGGTAACACGTAGATACAATAATCAATCAAGCAATGACAATCATTCAAAAGATTTCACACTAACACTCGCATCAATTAATTGACTCCGAGCGAAGCGACAATTTTCTCCTCTTCTTATAAATTCTATCAAGTATCTCCGGCCTTGGGAGTCACTGTATAGCCAAGTTCTTGCAAAGCGGCTATGTAAGAGGCTGGATCCAAAGGAGCCTCTTCCATGACCTCGCCAGCCTGGCCACTCGGCGTAGCGGCAAGATCTGTTGTGAAAAGAGCGTTATCGAAGCGATTCTCACGCATCGAATCATCGCCAACACGGCTGGCAGCTGCACCCTGACCAATGGCAGCTTGCGCCGCGATGTTGGCTTGCCTAAGCCGTTTTTCCGACTCCATAGTAGAATCCGAATCAACTGGTACTGCCCCTCCGTACCTTTTGTTCCACTTAACCACCGCTGGCGCCTCGAAAGGAGCTGCATCGCTAGGCCCTGCTGCATATGAGTTCGTCTGTAAGAAACTCATAGACACAAGAGAATCTACACGGCCCCTGCTCTTCGTGACCGCTTTCCTGCTAGCAGCTGAGTCACCAATTGAGTAGATCAGCTCCCTTGGCGGATACAATTGAACAAGCCGCTGTTCAAACATCCCTGTAGCTGCACCGCCAAGTCCTCCAGGAGCCGGCTGCTCGTAGTTGTCGGGGCTGACGACATGGCAAACCTTCGTGAGGCTAACACCATCTCACCTCACAAACATTGTATAGGAGCATCTGATCCGCGAGATTGCGAATCACCTTTTGGCCGAACTTCAATATCAGAGACTTGAACTTCGTCAGGAGTTCCAATTCCAGGGTCTGGTAGTCCGCGCATTCTATACACATTGATGCCGATTCCCACACCTGCTCCCGAAACAAGCGATACCCCTTGTTGCAAAATCTCAGATCTTTGCTGACCGTAACAAACGATCCGATTCCTCGGTGGTTGCCCAATTGGCCTGATCGATTTCGTGATCAAATCGTTCGGGCAACGTGCCAAGCCAGGCTCACTCAAAGTGGACACTATCTCAGCTGGCAAATTGTGTGGTGTGACAGCCTCAGGCGTCCAAGTCCAGTGCTGCTGAACCCAAGGCGCAGCACCATACTCATAAGCTCGTTGATCCGGAGCCCTCGTTGTTGTATTGCGCCAATGCAGAGACGCAACAAAGCTGACAGGCAACTCGATGTTGTAAAGCCGCACCATCACTGTAGCCACCGTGTCAGCAAGTGCATTCACTGTCAGCGTGTCACTCCTGCAAAGGTGGCCCATGAAAGCCCTCTCAGCCTCAGCGTTCACAAAAGGCCAAGCACCTTCTTGCCAAAGTGTAGATGGAGCCAATCCAACATACCTCAACGCTTGACACAAAGCACCACACAACATCTGGCCCCATATCAACGCTGAAGGCAGCGTCTCTGGGAGAGAATCTCCCTCAAAAGTTTGGCACGCTAGCTCCACAACAGTTTTTGTCTTCGCTCTTTCCTCAGATACTGGTATGAGAGACTGCAGCATAGATGTGGCTGTTGAACTCTGTGGCAATGTCATGCCACCCTGAATAGCATGTGGCGCCAAACAAGCTGTGGGTACCGTGCTTGCACCAATGCCGCTGCTGTAATCCCTCGGATCTACCCAATCAGGAGCTGTCTTGCGTGTGAGCGCCATAAGAAACCCAGTCATCGCACCTTGCGTGTCTGGCAAGGCGTTGCTAAGCAAGACAAGAGCTCTCCTCAAATTTGCCTTTGTCACACGCGGCATAACATTGAAATCCACCGCTTGTCCACCAAAATTCCGGGTCCAGGCGCTCCACCGCCAAGATACTCATTAATGCCATAGTCCTGATTGAGGAGAGGGAGGTCCATATTTGTGCCTAACAACTTCACAATCACCTGATGGCCCAAGAATCTGTAGTGGCCACTTGCTGTGTCGCCTCAACAAACTTGACGATAACTGGCAGGTTGCTAAGTGCAACCACACAGTGACAGTGGAGCCAATCTCGAGTGGCGAGTGTGCGTTTCTCATTGTATGTAGCTGCAGTACTCTGACCTTGCCTCATTTGTCATACATTGTATATATATATAGTTATATAAAACCTATATATTGACAATACACATTGTCACATTATACTAAAGGTGTTTCTGATGTTTTCTGAAGTGACCGGCAGGTTATATAATGGGAAACGCTTTTGGAAAGATTTTGTTAGCGTATATACTCAGACATCAAGCAACAACAAAGCCACTGGTTGAATTGCCTGCTTGTTGAACCAGTCCACGTGGCCTCCAAGAACCCATGGCTCTATCAGGTCAGGGGGGAATCGCTGGGCTTTGTCAGCATGTTCAGAAATCAAGCGTGAACAGAACCAGTTCAGTTGCGTGCTTGCGGAACTAGTCGACAGGGTCTGCCAAAGAACCGGCTCTATCTGTCAGTTGAATGGAACGGACAGCTGACCGCGAAAGCAAAACCTCCCTCGCCGACTGATGCAAATCATGCAGCAACAACTTTGCCTTGCATCTTCTGCATCACCAACTACCCCAAATTAGCGTATGAAAACACACATAATCCCACCAGGCTATGATGAAACCAGCCACATTGGCGCGCTTTCCACCCCACTCTATTACTCACTTCGTTCGCAGGAACAACTCCAGCCTAGCTGTCGGCTGGCTTTGGTAAATACAATCAGCATCCTGACTCAAGCTATGGACCTGCCCCCTCCACAGGTTCTTTGGAGAACAATCCAACCCAAGCCTACGGCGCCACGTTCTACTGCCCATATGTCTTGGCTTGCAAACAATCTTACTTATAACTTATCAGACATCATAACCCTTGAATCGTGACACCCGGTTTCCACCCCAAACCTCCACAGCCACGAACTCGTCCCGTTGGTGCCCCCACCGCCCCAACCGCTCCAAGCGCTGCGCAGCGTCGGTCCAGCACCTCAAAGACGTCGCTGGGGCGCTTTGAGCCGCTCAACTTGGAGATCGCCCACCTCGGGGCGCTTCGGCCGGAGGGACACGGAGACGCCACGGGTGGAACGGAGCCCAAAAGGGGCGTGAAGATGCGTGAAGTATGAAAGCAAAAGAGGAGCGATCGTTGATTTGATTACTGAGTTTCGACATATCCCTTTATAGTCATGGGATATTAATCATGGGATATCATGGGTAACCGGTGATGAAATTGAGTTTCTCTTGGCCGTGGGTGTTCTGATGCTGATGTTCTTTTTTGTGCTCTTCGTCTCAAACTTCTTTCTGCCTCCTGTCACATGTCCTTTTCATGGTTGTTTGGTAGCAACACAAAATGTGAATTACAAGCAAAGCAAGAACTGAAAGTCCTGCCCAATTTAGCAGAACGAGCAAGTGTAGTAGAGAATTCAATCCGCCATCCGCCAGCATAGGTTTCAGCACTGGTCTGGCTCAACTAAGCACATGCGACAAGTAATGCAAGCTCTTCTGGTTTATAAAAGCTCCCCAAACATGGATTGAACAATCTCTTCAGGCTTGGATTTCATCTTGGGGGTGAAATCTCCTCATGGGTCCACTTTCGAGACGTGTCCGAACGAACCTGCAAAGATTTGCAGGTAAACAGCTGGTCTGGGAATGTGTGGGAGAGGAGACCCACCCCTCCGTCCGCAGATTGGTCATGATTTGGGCGTGCATTCAAAATAGGGAGACCTCCCAGGCAACGACCCCCAAACACTCCCTGGAAGCTTCGGGACCAGCTGACCAGCTGCACCCAGCCAGGGCGATCGGGGGTCTCCCGGATTTCAATTGACCAAGCCAGGACCCCGCCCCCAGGAGTTTCTATTGATAGCACCTTCGAGGTGATTCGGGGTGTCACCACCTCGACAGGTTGGGTCCTGGACGGGGTTGGTATGAATCCTTTGGGAAGGACATCCGCACGAACGAACTCTCAGGCTCAACGCTCTGGGAAACCCGAACTGTTAGACCTACGATCCCAGTTCCCTGGGAGGGGCATTTCTTCGGCACGGCCACACGTCGCGGCTGGTGGCCAGTGGCTCGCGGAAGTATGCCATCACCTGCGCAGTGTCTGGATCGAACCTCAGCCGCTGATGTTGCATGTTTGAGCCTACGGGGAGTTCGAGTTCGAAGATCTTGGAATCCATCTGATGCTTGGGAGCTCCTGCGTAGCTAGAAGCAACTAGTAACAAGCGCCTTTCTACTAGTAGCTTCTGAAGCTACTAGTAGCGAAGGGCATCGCTACTAGTAACAAGGGCATATATGGTCGTTCCCAGCTCGTCTTGCCAGTCTAGCCTCGGTCGTACCTATGACCTGAAACCATACTGACTGGATGACCAGCATTACAAACACAAGGTTTGGTGCTTCGTGAATATACCTTCTACCCTCTCTGGTGCTGGGAATGCTTCTATAGTGATGTGATATCTTTGGGGTACATTCAGAAAGTGGAACAACGCGGGCATCCGCCACTCAAAAGCTCAAAAGCATGCTGCAGCCACTCAGAGCTCCAGCCACACGAACATGCGGTCTTGTGTTGGACGAGCTGCTCCTCGATGGTGGTGATGCCACTCTGGTCATGATCCAAGGCTTTCCACAAGGCTCGGCAGTTGCCCTTCCAGTTCAAAGCCTTCACCGCCTGAAGTGGCGTCCATTGGATCGGTCTGGGCGGGTCTTTTTCTATTGCAAGAACCACCACCAGTCGCACCGGTGCTCGGTTTCAGAGCTGCTGGATTGCGGTCCTTCAAAGATCGCATGTATATGTATCTTAAATATCACGTGGAGAAGCGGCCTCTCAGTACTCAGTACGCCCACAAATAGAAACGCATACACAATAACAAACTCATCCCTTAAAGCCCACCAGCCCACTGGTCGAGACAAGCGGTGTGCCTCACCAGCCCACCGTCGCCTTGAAGAGCTCCGCGCGTTGGAGGTTCATCGAGCCGTCCAAGTCCAAGGCTTGTCGCCAGGCGCGGAAGGAGTTCCCGAATTGCTTCTTCATGAAGGCCTGGAATTGATCCAGAGGGCAAGAGGGATATGGTCCAAAGAGGAGATGGAGGGTCAGGCCGTTAGATGGCAGTTAGTAATTAAGTGAGATGAGCTGCAGTGAGTTCATGCTTAACGGCAGCACCACTTGGGGAAGGTATACCTGCTGCAGCTATAAGGGATTGGGATTGCTCAGAAACACACTTTGTTTCCAAGTTCCAGGCGTGAAGCGAAACGGCTTCACAGCTGCGGGTTCTAGACAGGCGGCCAAAGCCCAATCGAAGCCCAATCGAGTCCAACCGATGGAAGGCAAGTCCCCCCTAGGCGTCCAACTGAACATAGGACTTGACACATTGTGACCTGGTAGTCCCCTGGAACGGAGCCGTGGCTCGATCGGCCAAGAAAGATTCTCCATCCAACAGTCACAAGACGGGGTGCTTTCTGGAGGATAGGGGTGCCCAGAACATCCACTCACTTAGGGACCAAACACCACCCCTGTGTCTTGTGACTCCTGGATGAGGTGAATAGTTAACAGTAAGTAGCACAGTTAAGTAGGTAGAGGAACCACAGTAAGTCAGTCAAATACAGGTCTGGTGTTTTTGGTTGTTCTGTCTTAGCCCCTTCATGTCGTTCAGAACCACCGTTCTCCGCATGGTCTGGTCGTTCTCCTGTGGTCTGTGGTCGTTCTCCTTGAATCCAAAGAAGGTTGGCTAGCGGGGTGATCCACTGAACTCCTGGGGGCCGGATGTCACATGGACTTTTGACGTGAAGCCACTGGATTGTAACGGAAATGGTGAACACCACAGGTCGAACACCTCAGGGTCCATGCGAACGCCTTTGGTGAACACATCAGGTCTTTCCAGGCGATCCACTTCCATGCATCTTGGAGGAAGGGTGTAGGTCATCCATCCAGGTGATCCATTGCCATCCATCGACCATCGAAGGCCTGTAGGCTGGTGAACCGGTGAAAGCACCGGAATAAGCCGCTTGGCGTTCGTAGTTATTGTTGTTGTCTTTTTATGAGGTTGATGTATCCCAGACCATCCATATATATGGAACATATATATATATATTATATAGTTACAACTTATAACCCTAGCTAGTGTAGGTAAGCATGCTGCAGACCTATCGTTGGCTCTCGTGGTGGACTCCAAAACTGAGATCGTTGGCACCCGCTTCCATCTGTGCTGTATTCGCTCCTGCCGCGCAGCGCTGCCCCGTTCGCGTCGCGCCTTGAAGCTCTTCAGTGCCAGCTGAGCCTCTTGGATGGTGCGCTGCTTCACGCCTGGTAGAGTCTGGCAGGTTTCTGCCAAGCGTGCAAAGATAAGCTAGGTCGGGCGACCACAGTGGGTAAAAGGTCGACTCAATAACATCAACAACCATCCATTATACTACTACCCAGACGCTCATGGGCCCTCGTATGGAGGGGTCGGACCCTCATATGGAGGGGTCTGGGGTCTCAATTCCCTAGGTTTTGAGGTATATACTATACTTGAACGCATTCAGATTCTGAGGAAGTAAAGCAACAAATTTGTGTCAAATCGGGACCGCTTGGATGATCATACTACAAGGCTGTTTTCTGCAGCAAGCTGTCTCAGTTGAACTCCAGACATGGCCGACATCGCCGCGGCTTATCCTCGCGCGGCTGCCAAACCGCATCGTCCGCCGCTGCTCCCTTCCGCGCCTGCCATCTTCTCAGCCTTCTTCCGGGCCGCTTGCTTCCTGAAGACGACGGTGCGCTTCTTCCGGGCGGCAAGTGCCACACTACCGGTCTGAAAATCGACATTTCTAGCATTCAAAAAGGCACCACGGTGGTACCTGTCCTTCAATGACAACCAAGGGGGAGAAACAGAATCTTCAATGTAGATTCTAGAGGTGCAACATGCCAAACACCAGTTCCTCCAGCAGATAAGTTCACTCGATCATTCTTTGGTTTACTAGGCATCTCTCTCCGGAGACTGGCTGCTCCCCACCCCCCTCAAGAAAACACTTCAACGAACCGAGACGTGCAGCCAGGCGTCATCTTGAAAATCTTCACCTCCCGGTCGACCCACCTGGCTGTTGGCAACGGGATGTCAAATTATCTAGCCAAGTGGAGCAAGGACAACCAGGACCTAAAGCTATCTCCTCCCATTACTGCTCCCGCTGCTGCTACTGCCACTGCTAGGTGCTACTACCGCAACTACATGCTACAGTACTTTTCATTGTGCTGCTAGAATTGCTCCGCGTGCTAGAAATACTCTTTCCCCAAAGTGGGACCCTTCATGCCCCCTGGGTTGGCATCCCATTCCATTATTGGTATTGCCTGATTTGGAAAATATGTGATGGATATTGAATAATGGAACCAATTAACCGTTCCAATAACTTGCCGATCAACATCCTAATACCAAAATGGATATCGAATCTAATCCAGTGATGATTCTGCAAAGAAAAAGGTTGCATCTCTCTTTAGTTATAAATTAATGTTGTCATCCCCATCTGTATAGCTGCTGACAACTACGATATATCCACACTAGTATCTTCACTGACGCTAGGCAGTTGAGCAAAGAAATTGATGTCTATCCCCCATGTCCTCAGCCATGCAGCTGCGGCCGTGCATGCGGCCAAGCACGCCACGACTCGTCAGATTACACAACATATGTATTGGAGCCACGCCACCAAACCATCATAACCTCTTCCAAGAGAAGTTGAGAGACCTGAACTAGGACCCTGTAGTGGTACATATCGGATGGGCTGCTCTCATGCCATGTTAAACCTGTTTAAGCCTTTGAACCTCCGTCCCAACGCTTGCCTGATGTTTTTGGCATAGATGCTTGGGATATGCCCGTCGGAGTCAGAGCAAAAGGCTTCCCAAAGCAGGGTCTCCTCACCTGAAGAGAGGTCGATGACGGTCGATGGTAGGTCTATGGAGGCGAATTCTGGTGGGTCAGCACTCTGTTTGAGAAACATCCCCCAAAATGACTGCCCGAACGCTCCGTTCACAGCTCGACTGGTCCCTCAACACCGGGATTGGTTCGGGTCCGGACCCAGAGGATTCGGGTCCGGCCCCTACTTTTAGGGTCCAGGGTCGCGTCTGGGTGATTTTGGGCGACCGCCCAGATTCCTGTCGAGAGTGACGCTCCACGAAAGCACATCCAAGAATACGGAAGATTGTGTGGCAGGGAAGACCGCCAAACGCCGCAAATGCTCCAAAGCAACAGAGGTTGAAAGACCCATTGGTACCGACTATCCGGTACCCCAAGGTTCCGGGTCCTATTTACGATCACTTCACACCTCTTGGAAGCTCATGCGAACCAAACCACTCGAATCGTCTCAGCGCCAACCTCTCAGACTGAATGGTCCCCAACAACGCTACAAACCTCTCGTCTCGCACGGCTCCCAAGGTCCTGTTGTGAAGGTGGTCACCCCAGCCCGGTGGAGGACTAAGAGTTTGGGCAGTATGGTGACCAACTGTGGGCACCAGCGACCCTCCAGCGACCTAGCCATCATCTCAACACCAAACCTCACGGCGTTCACCTGTGCATCCCTGAAATTCAACCCTAATTCATGGTGCATCATGTGGCCAACCAATGAACCTCATTGCGCCATTCCACTTCCACTTCCTGGGGTTCTTCCACCAGGTCTACGGTGCCTGAACGCTACATTTACTGTGTGTACCACCCGAATCGACCGACTCCGTGGGTTCGACTCCCCATCCGCACCTTCTGTCCATCCGAGGCCCGGCAAGCTTTCCTCGAACTCCCGCTGATGAAGCACCTCGGTGAATCTGAAGCACGGCACTTCTGCAGCCGTTCTTCACGGGGACGAGCTCCATGTTCGTTGTTCTAAGATGTTCAATCAGCAACCCAATTTTCGGGACAACCATTCAAAAGGGTATGAATCGAACATCGAAACCGTGTTGGTTCAACTGAATTCGACTATGACTCGGGTTTCGGGTTTGACCAAGTCGTGATGTTTGATCTGGTCCCTGGTCATGCTTTTCCAAGGAGAAACGTCCCGTGGAGCTCTCCGAATCATTTTCACATGGTTACGTGGAGTGAAAACCACCCGTTGGTAGACGAAAATGATCTTCCTTGCAGGGCCATCCCATGAGGATCTCAGAGAATGTATTGTTCCATATTTGTCCAATATACTAGTATCAATCTTGTATGGTCAATGTGGGTAACTCATGTGTTGCGCTCAGTGGGTGTCTAGAACCTTCTCAGTGCTGATTGAAACGAGTGAGCTTCCTCATGTGCCACCCTCGTGGACGTAAGCTCTGAATTATGGACCACTTTGGTTCTTGCTCTTCTGTTTGGGCACCTGCGCCAGGTCTAAAAGGAGAGACAGTATAGCCATCCAGGATCGAGTAAAATCGAAGACGGCAAAATACAAAAGAAGAATCAGAAAGAACATCCGGTTTTATCATCGTGCATCCACTCCAGGATGCTTGTAAAATGCAACGATGCCACATGACCCGCTAACGATGCATGTCAACGTGAAGACTTCCCAAAAGACACGTGGAGTGAAAGCCATGACACGCGGTTGATGGTCCACACACCCAAAAGCTCAGGGGAATAAACTCAAATCCCATCCGGGCTTTTTGATTGGGATTAGAAGGCCAATAGGGTGACAATACTGGTGTATATGATGACATGTTGTGACATTACACCCAGAACAATCTATAAACAAATCCAACATCCCATGAAATTCCGCAACCTCCCAATCAACTCCACTTCTTCTACGAACGTCCCATGTGCAGGGTGTTAAGTGCCGCATGGATTTAGTCTCGCATGGATTTAGTCTCAGCCACGGCCGGGGTGGTACCGCCACGGCACACGCTCCTCAGTTGGGGGGTCCAAGACATTCACATCCGCGTAGTACTCCTGCATCTGGTGAATCATGTCCTGGCGTCTGGGCGGCTGAGCGTCCAAACGTCGGAGACGTGGTCCCGGTGTGTCCTCCGAATTGCTGGGCCTGGGGGGATTGAAACAGATTTGAAGGATTTGTACAGGTGGGCGGTGAAGAACCTGGAGCGGCTGCCCAAGTCATCCACGACTCATCCACCCACATTACTGTCAGCCTCGCCATGCCTCGCCTGGAGGCCGGTACTTCGGGTGTACACTCCGACTCACTAACGGAAGTGGAAAAAACATTGAAACACCATGCGTTTGTAAAGGAAAGTACTCTACCATGCCATCCGCTTCCATGTGATGTCTTCGTCAGAGTGTATATGTTTTGTTCCGCTGAGTCTCCCCATGTCTCCGGTCGCCACATACCGCACCGCACCTTAGCACCCTGGAAGCTGGCTCCGCAGAAATGCCGGAACTGGTTCCACAGCGTCGCCTGTTTCAGGGACGGACGGTTAAGCCAGGCGGCGGCTACCGGTGCCGGCAGCAGGAATTCCGGCTGCCACTTGAAATTGAAATCAAATAAACACACAAACAGCAACAAAAAATAACCATTTCAGAGTGTTTGCCAATTCAAGGCACCATGGACTCAACTTTGGCAACATGCCATTGACTCCATGATGTGGGGTCAAGTGTGTCAAAGGATAACCATCGCGGACTGCACTGAACAAAATCCCAAGAACGGGAATTCATGAAATGTCCTTGTTTCCCCGTAGGGCAAAGGCGGCCAAATTTCAAGACTTCTCACGAAGAGCATCCGTGCTGCTTACTACATCCTCTGGGTGCCACAGTGGGGGTACGAAGCAGCTATATATGACTATATGTACCAGGTGCTAATTCTGACTGCCTCAGCTTTGCTGGGAAATAAAGGTTAACCGGTTAACCGGCTTAACCTTTTTCCACGCTGTACTTGTTGAGTGGGGCAACCAATCCTCCAAAAAAGCTTAGAAGGTGGTCCGCTGACTGAGTCGGGAAGTGGGAGAGTTCTTAGGATGGGGCACGCAAAGGGCCCCAGACCTGAATAGTGAACATGGAGAGTCAAGCACCAAAATCCACCAACAGCCTCCACTCCCAACCATAACCCCAGTGTTTCTGGGATCTCCCAATTCACTGAGAATGCACCCGGAAGATTGAACACATCATTGAGGTTGTCATCCTCCATCCGCCGTCTTCTCAGCACTTAGCAAACAACTGAAAAATATGGCACGTCTCTCCAGGCATCACGGAGGGCGCTTTCGTCCTTTCTCTTTCCGCGCTCTGCGCTCCGTTCGTCCAGGTCCAGGTCGGTCGAGTGGTGGTCGGTGGAGGGGCGAGCGGTCCTGGCCCGGGAAGCGCCTTCACCCGTTGAAGGGAACCAAATCGACCTCCGTTGTTCCAACGCTCGCAGTGTTGGTTTCGGGTTGGGGACGTGGGGTGGGAGATGCTGGCGTCTTGGGGTGGGAGACGGCACCTGGGAACGAAGGTCGGACGGCGCGAAGGAAGGAAGGGAGCGCCGCGATCCAGCTCAGATCGGAAATATGAAGGTTCTTTCACAAACGTCGCCACGATAAGTGGGTCATTAACATCGTGTTCTTCATCCTTCTTGCAAGCCCCACGTGCCGCGGCCTGAAAAAAGTGCTGCTACCATTGAGAAACTCACCGGAGAAAACATTGATATCCATGGATAATCCCCTGCCCAAGACCTCGCGCTTGGAAGGGACATGAAAGGTCCTTCCGATCCACTGCCAAGGGTGAGAAATTGATTGGATACTCTTGTAGGAAGGTTTAGTGTCCAAGTGCCTTCTAAAAGGTATGTGGATTGGTAGGGGAATGCAGGGGAGTAAGATTGTACCTCCAAACAATCAGTTTGGCTCTGGCAGTTCCAAGGCTTGTTTTTCAAGGGAGGTACACCTTCGCTAGAACCCATTGTGCCCGTCGTTGATGGACACCTGCTCTTGGAAAGCAAAGCACTGTCTGTTGCGTGCATGGCACCATCTTCATCATTCCCAAATAAAGCTCGACTTCCTGCCATCAACCCTAGGTGTTTCATGCTTTACTTGGTGACTTGCCTTGGAAAATACACATGCAACAGCACTGCGGGGCAGTTTCAATTGTATTAAAACTTGAAAATCTTGAAAGAATAGAAACAACATGAAACCACATAATACACAACTAACTGGCTGGCGCCTCTGGTCTATTTAAGGTCGTGGCCCCCGGCAAAGCAGCCAGGCCACCTCGCACCGCTGCGGTGTTCGGCGTGTTCGGCTCGCACCGCAGCGGTGGCAGGGGTCACAGATCACAACCTCAGGTGCTCGGCCCAGGGAGGGGATGTTTAGCTAATGGATGGCTCGAAAAGTGAACTCCGCAACTAGCTTTTGCTCAGGAGGGAGCGATTCGGAGCCAGGGGTATCCAGTCCTTCCCCATTCAACAGGGAGCCGAGGAGCTACAAGGAGTTCCCCAACCCCTTACTAGGCAATCGCTCTCTCTCTCTCTCTCACCACATCTGGAACATGTTGGTCGACCCCATCGACGTGGTTTTCAGACTTGTTTGCAAAGTCTCCAGCATGCATCTTCTACCAAAACTTGATCCCTTTAAAATGTCCAATCCCCTAACCGTGTTTTCGCTGGTGCTTAGGCCACTGGTAAAGGCGCTTTTCACTCATGCGGTAGGAGAGGTCAGCCCACCAAGGGACTGGAGAGGTCAGCCCGACACAGCCTCACCCAGTCCCTGAGTGGGTAAGCCCAGCTTGTGAATGATTCTGACAGAAATTGGGCATGGGCTAATCAGATTCAGTGGTGGTCCTTGCTCCTGAGCTCCAAGAACTGGGATCACTGGACACGGTCTGAGTCTACTGTACATCTACATGTCAGGCTGCAAAATGTGTCCCAAACAATCTCACAATATGATATAAACCATCCTTGACTCGTGGAATCTTCCAAGAATCTGACCACACTGACCAGTCTCCTATCAGTCAATGAAGTATGCTGAACTAGATTCACTACACCTTCCATCTTGTGTGTCCTTCGCCTTTTCCAGTGCTTGAGGTGCTTGATCCCGTATACAAAACCAGTTCACCACCGCCGTCTACTAGTTCACCACCTCCGTCTCCTCCCCCCCCCCAAAAAAAAACACAAACACACACTCCCAGACACGACCCGTCTGGGACTGCCATAGGACTGCCGATCAGGCCAGGGGTGGTGCCAGAGGGGTCAATGTAGGCATATATGGCAGTCCCATTAGTCGTGTCTGGGACTTATAGAAATGCTTCCCTGACTCATGCCGCTCGCCACGTGTGTTCTCCCGGAAGTCACCAAGTGCCGTTCAGGTTCAGGTGGAGTGACCCCACTCGTTACCCCCTCGAATCCTCCTGCGACTCCTCGCTCCTGTCCCTTGGGCGCTGGGCTCCCCCCACGCTGGTTCACGCAGCGCGCGGCGCGCCGCAGCTCGGCATGGCGGTGGCAGCGCGTGGTGCGGCGCGAGAGCTCGGAGATCTCAGGGTGGCCCAGTTGGCGGAGCACCTCCTGCGGTGGAGCTGCGGTGGCGGTCACTCCGCAGGGGGAGTGGAGTGGAAGTTGGTGGAAAAAGACCGGTGAAGCATGGTTAAAAGCTAAGCCTTAAGCCTTAACGCAGGGCATCCAAACCACTATAGCTGGTAACAGTGGTTTCAGAGACTAAACCCATAGACCGAACGAATCCTTGGTTCCTTGTATAGTGGTAACTGGGATCCACTGACTGGCTCAAGGTTTTATTCAGTGCAGAAGCCAAGGCCCCAAAATGATTGAAGGTCAAGTTTGAAGGTTTACTCACCCCATCCCCTCACAATCTCAGGAATAGGTTTAAAACCGGTTTGGGAGTCGGCGAAAAAACAGGGCGAAGAATCGGTGTTCGGCTGGGAGGATTGTCCTAAAGGAAGGGAGGATTGTCCTAAAGTATCCTAGAGTCGCTAAAACTGATGATCATTCTGTCATTCTGTCTGGGATTTTGAATTGTGCGAGTGTTCCAACTTCGAGGAATCGAAAGGAACGACTGGGGTTTCGATAGGTTTCTCAGAGCTTGATTCACCCAGATTATGGTAAATCAATGGCAAATTTGCAATGGTGAGTTCTGGTGTCTGTTCTGTGTTTGTGTTTTGGTGCTGATCAAGCAGTTCCAACCCTTCTTTGGTTTCTTAGGGTTTGCACGTGAACTCAGTACCATTGAAAGTGGATGTCATGGCCACTGGGAAGGCTTAGTGAGTGAGTGATTCGCCGACAGTTGTTCAGGAAAAAGTGATGGCCATCCGTTGTTGAGAAAAACACATGGAAAAAAGATCCTTCAGCCCTCAACTTATATAACATCCCTCAAACACACCGTCCATCCACCACCAAAAACATCCCGCCAACCTCTCCACCAGTTCCCCAAAACGGCACCATGTTCTTGTTGTGCATGGTGTTTTGGCTACAGTAGCTTCTTGCTAGTAGCGATGCACCGGAAGAAAAAACAAAAACACCCCGAGAGTTCGGAGCTCCTCCAAGCGACGATATTCGGGCTCCAACGCCTCCTGGAACTCCTGGGGCGTGGGGTTCTCGGTGCATGGAACGGAGAGCGGAACGGCATGCGGCATGCCGAACCAGAGGAACTCTCAGAACGGATGCGCTATCCATAGGGCTTTAAAGAACTGACCCGCAAAGGGGTTGGTGAACTATTTCTTGGGCGAACCCACGACCAAAACCTGCAAGCTACTTGTCCACAAAAAATGGTTTGAGTCGAGTCACCGTGGCCCAAATCGAAGGACATCACCTTCAAGTCATCCCTGACAACTTGGATCACACATGAATCCCCCTCCGTTGCAGACTCACATGGACGCGGACAAAAGGACGCCTTTTTCAGAACATGTCTACAACCCAGTGGTTTTCAAGGCAACATATACCAAGACCCACAAGGGATGGTTAATGGACACCCTTAACCTCTAAGGAGCTATCAATAGAAGCCCCTTAGGGTGTCCTGGCCGGCCCGGTGCTCCCCCGCCTTCAGCAAGTTCTTCCGTTGGCAAAGGCCGGTGCGGCGGCCCCCAAAGCCTCCGGTGCGGCCGGGACTGCGGGGGGCTTGGGGACTAGCGGCTTTCAAGGAGGAGGTTTGTAGATTTTTGTAGAGTGGGATTATTGATTTTAGTGTGTGATCTCAATCCATTCTCCCGTTTGGGCTCCGCTGCCTACACTCTTTGATGTAGGCTCGAGGAGGGTCCAAGTGTGTCTAGTTTACCATGTATACCTTCTGAGAAAGGCTGAGTGAAATCCTCAGATAGGGCATGTTCAAGCCAAGCAGCTGTTGTAGCGATGATATCCTGAGCTTCGCGACGCGACTAGGGCTGAGTACCTAAGCACTCCATCTCGACCATATACCAGGGCCCCTGTTTGGGGTGTCTAATTATAGCTCCTTAGAGGTGATTCGGGGTATCCATTAGGGGGCCCTGGTATTTGTCTACATATCGTGGTATTTTCGAGGATGAATGCATGGAACATCCATGGAGCCTGTCAGTCCTGTCAGTCCCATCAGCACCGGCAAAATTCGTGGAGGTCTCAGCATCCGGTGCCGGTGGCGTAAGATACTTCGAAGTGGCAAGCACCATCCAAACCCAAACACTCCAGGCGAGTGCCATATATGCCGCCCCATTGACCCCCAAAACCACCCCAATTGATCGGCATATATGGCAGTCCCATGGAGTGTCTGGGAAATTGTATCAGTTATCTGTTGCCAATCTTCGTGGAGGTCCAAGTTGTTTCTTGATCCCGCCAACGATGCAACGCCAGCCTGGCAAACGATGCAACTGGCACCTGGCCAACGATGCACGGAGACACCGCCCAATTTGGACGGCGTGATGGTCCAACTGGTTCAACATCTGGCCGGAGGCGCAACGCTTTTCATCCCCGCCCCGTGATAGGAAGGACAGGTTCGTCAGTGGCATACACCCCCAGTTTGAGGTCGGTCATGGCCTGCCTTCGCCATCGTCTCTGGGAACCTTGCCTGCAGGATCGTCTCTGGGTCTCGCTCCGAGGTCGGAGTCCCACTGTTCAACACGTTGGTGGAACTTCTGAGCCGAGACGCGCCCGTCTCGGCACTCATCGGTCCGTGAGTCCCTTTTCCGTCCACGAGTTCAACTCATCCACATCCAGCCAGCAGATTTCTTCTTGATGGTAGTCTCCACTGCCGATGAAGGTCCCTTCTTTGGAGGAATGGTAATAAGTCTGTTGAACGGCTCACGGCCGAATAGAAGCTCCAGCTGAACATCCTTGAGCTTGGTGTTCAAAACAGTTATATATTATATATTAAGTTCAAACATATACATGACAAAAATACTTGAGTGGAGCAATTGCAGCTATATATATATATATAACATCAAATGTTGTTTGTTGCAAAAGAAAACGCAACAAAAAATAATGAACACAAACAAAACACATTAGGAAAACACATAATGAGAAAACAAAGTGAACAAAACAAACCATCCGGAATGTCTGACGCAAATAGCCTCTTTCCAGGATCATCTAATCTGTGTCCTGGCCGGAGGTCCACCAGAGTAGTGTAGGGTAATCCATGGTAATCCCTTGTTGGTTACCAATCCGCTGGATGATCCAAGATTGTTTCCCCACCCAGTTCCACGTCTGCCAAGTGTCGTATGTCCGGCGGCTCTTGAAGCCCAATGTGATGGAACAAGGCCCTCACAGGCGCGCTTGGACTCGCTTGGACTCGTGTGCGACATGGTGTTGGCCTGTTGTAGATCGATACGCGCGATGAGGGCTTTGACCCGAAGTTTCAGTCTGTTCAAAGAACAAACGTCAGGGGCCAAGTACCTTCCTTCTGAGAAGGTGTTTGGGGTAGGTTTGGATGATGGTCTCAGTACCTTCTGAGAAGGCATTTGGAGTCCAAACGGGTGACACGTATTACAGAGGCAAAGTATATATAGTGTTGTTCTTTTAAACACACCTTTCTATATAATCCTTTTTGCCCTGGATCCAGTCCACAGCCTGCGAAGGGGCAAGTCTCGAACCATCAGCCTATCAATGGATCTGCGAAACCCTAAAAAACGCAGGGCCAAGACGGAGGAATCGAATGGTGAACATTCACCGGACCACATCCAGGTTGAATTGGTTCCAGGTACTCAATGGTACTAGGGTTTCTTAAGTGTTTTTCCTTCAACAGTTCTTAGACGCTTCTTCTCTCACTAGCGTGCAAGTCAAGCACCTTTCTTCTTCTTAGTGTGAAGTGCTCTGCCTGGAAGTCTCTATGGCGGTCAGAACCGTAGTGAGTGCCCCAGGTACATTCCTTGAAACCCTTGGATGACGATGTTCCTTTATGAACAGGTCCACTTGAGGAGTCAATTGTTCAACGACGTTCACTTAAGAATCATGAATCATCAATATCCAATTGCCTGTGGCCCTTGAAAAAAGGACATCACCTCCTGACACTGATTATATAATCACTACCCATGGACAAAGCTGAGCACTGCTCACCGTACCCCCCCAAAAAATACACATTTAGGTTGAATGCAAATCAATACTAGTTTGGGATTCTTTGTTGTTCCTGGAAGGGTGTGCTTTTGGAACATGAACAACCCAAACAGTACACAAATACACCCCACCCCACCCCTTGCGAGTTCATTCATGTGAAGCCTTCCGTGGGTTGTGCCCACGTTTTCGCCCCGACACTTCCACCACGCATGCCGTGGAGGCTAGCGCCCCACGCCTGTACAGGCGCGCGGGAAACTCTCGCAGGATCTGCTGATGCACCTCGGCGATCCGCGGGGCAAATCCTGCGATCAGCACCCAATAGCGTTGTTCTGGCAAGTCCCCATATGAATTCTCATAAAAGTGCCTGCTGGACATGTTTCAGGCACGAAGCAACTCATGGGTTGAAGGAGGCCTATAGGGTGGTCCATTCGGGGCCCCAAAGGGAAGGCGCTAATATTTAAGTTAATTGTAGCGATTTGTGCCTGAGAAGGGAGGGGACGAAAGCCAGCCCTTCAAGCAAACCGCAATCATATGTTTTAAACATATGTTTTTACAGCTGCTTGCGGGGCCCTAGCTAAATCCCAGGTACCCTTTTTCTTTCCCCAAGCCGTGCCAAAACGATCAAAATGGGCACCACCACTGGACCATACCTGCCCTTCAAACAGACCGCAAACATAGTCTTTCAACATAACGTGTTTTCTTTACAGCTACTTAGGGAGACCTAGCTAGATCCTAGAAGATAGCACTCTTTTGCTGGTGCCCTTTTTGTCTTCCCCAAGCCGTGACAAAACGATCAGAAGGGCCACCACCACTGGACTGCAAACATAGTCGTTCAGCGTATTTTCTTTACAGCTACTTGGGGGACCTAGCTAAATCCCAGAAGGTAGCACTCCTTTGCTGGTGCCTTGTTGCCTTCCCCACATGCAGCCAGGCAGTGGTACTACGCTTGCCACGACAAATGTTAAGTACCAAACAGCCATTTTCTGCATGATATGTCCTTGGTGACACCGGCCTCGTCATCATCTATGTCGGGCGCGGACAGGGTGCCTAACAGCAGCTACGAAGCCCAATTTAAACATATCAAAAAAGCTATCCCGGCAAGAGACCCCAAACAGTGTGTGTGATGTCTACAAGCAGAAAGTCTAAAAATCTAGACGCATTGGGGCCAGAGAGGTGATGGTGGTGGTGAGTCAGAGGGAGAATGAGAGTGAGTGAGAGTGAGAGTGAGAGTGAGTGTGGGTGAGAGTGGCGAGTGTGAATGAGAGTGAGAGTGAGTGCGAGTGAGAGTGAAGAGAGTGACTGTATGTGTGAGTGAAAGTGTGAGCGCGAGTGAGAGTGAGAGTGGGAGAGCGAGTGAGAGTGAGTAGGGGGTGAGAGTGGGAGAGTGAGTGTGAGTGTGAGTGCGAGTGTGAGAGTGAGAGTGACTGTGAATGTGAGTGATGAGTGAGTGTGAGTGAGAGTGAGAGTGAGCGTGAGCGTGTGTGAGTGAGTGAGAGTGAGGGTGAGAGTGAAATTGAGACAGTGAGAGAGTGAGCATCTGCACTTCGAGGTTCCCAAAGTGCTGCGCCACGAAATCTGAATTTCGAGGTTCACAAAGCTCTGTGCCTGCCACGAATCTGTACTTCGAGGTTCACAAAGTGCTGTGCCTGCCGCGAAATCTGCGCTTCGATTGGTCATACACCTAGGTTCTCCACTGCAAGCTGCCACAGTCTAAGAAGTCAAGTTGCGGGTTCCCTGCTTTGATGTGACAAGGATCCGAAGCCAACAAAACTGGCACCCCTCTGAAACAGTAAGTGTCCAAGGGAATTGGAAGTGAGACCCTCTGTTGTTTTCTTTTTGGGGTGGGTTTCCTTGTTTACTTTTTCCTGTGTCTTTCTTTTCCCTTTCTTTTCCGGCTGCATCACTCATGTTCTTTTGTCTTTTCTGTTCCTTTGACATTTTCTGTGCTCTATCTTCTTTTTGCTTTCCGGTCTTTTCCCCTTTTCTATGTTCCTTATATCTTGTCAATGTTTTCTATATTGTTCGGTATTTGTTCCTTCTTGATCCTTGTACTGATTATACTCTTACATATTCTTATTATGTCCTTTTCCTTTTCCCTACTCTTTGTATTGTTCGATCCCCTTTCCTTCACCTTTGGTGATCCTTTTTCAATGTTTGTTTTTATATGCACTTGCATTTTCAATGACAAGAGCCAGTGTTTCCACTTTGTTTTTGTATTCTTGACCTTTCATTTCCTTCTCCAAGCCCTGTTCTTCTCATGTCCTTGTATGTTCTTTCCCTTTTCTACTCATGTTCCTTATGGTCAGTTCTTTTAGTATGTTTCCTTTCCTTGGTTGTTGTCCTTTTCCATGTTTTTTTGTGGCTTTTCTGTCATTTTCTTGTTTCCAATTTACATTGCTTAGGATGTCTATGGATGTCTTGTCCTTTTCCGTGTGTTCTGCATTTTCCTTTTTTCCTTGTCCCTTCCTGTATCCTTTTCGGTTGTCTTTTTCCTTGTCCCTGTTCCTTGTTTTTTTTGCCCCTTTTCATCCCCAGTTTCATACGTAAGGAACCTTAGTGTTTTATATGTTTTCTCTCCTTGTCCTTTCCCTTTTTTCTCTACCTTTTTGCTGGATTTATGATTTGTTGTCCGGCACTTATTTTACTTTGTTTCTTATTTGTTTCCTCACTGGTTTGATTTGGGGGCTGCAATACCAAGAGGAATAGATCAAAACATAGGATGAGTGGATTGAGCGAGTGGTCATACACCTAGGTTCTCCACTGCAAGCTGCCACAGTCTAAGAAGTCAAGTTGGGGGTTCCCTGCTTTAATGTGAAAAGGGTCCGAAGCCAACAAAACTGGCACGGCTCTGGAACGGTAAGTGTCCAAGGGAGTTGGAAGTGAGACTCTCTGTTTATACAAGAGCGCGGGATTCAACGAAGCAGAATGTGGGCAGCCCCCAGCCAATCAGCCACGTGTCAAACTCTGGGTTATCCAAATGCAAGGAGCTGCACACCTTTGATTTGCACCTCCAAAAATCCAAAAACACAAGAAATTGAGTTATATAAATATAAATATATAGATTATTTATTTCTATTTGTATTAGTAATATGCTTTAAAATATTTTTATATTTATATTTATAATATTTATATAACTACTTAACACCCAAACTCCCTGTCCCTGTCAATCTGTTTGACTTTGTGTGCTCCAACTTTCGCAAACATGTTGCCAGGCTGAACTGAACCAAGGAACCACACACCTTTCGAGGCATCCGCAAAGAATCTTCCTCTTCGAAAGCCAGCAAATTGCTCATCTTTTCAACTGACAACGGTGCCCGTGTTGAAGGTTTGGGTTTGGGTCTTTTTGCCTCTCCAGCATCCTTCTGAGCAACAATGGCCATATCTCCATCAGCATTTCCACGTTTCTCCTGACTGTACTGGTTGCAGGAAGCCTTCCCATAGCGGTAGAGTCTATACCCGCTTTTCTGGTCTCCATGTCTTTCCCACATCCACTTCTTGAATCTGCCAAAGGACCTGGTGATGAGTGTAAACATGGCACGTTCTTGTGCTACTGCGTCAGATGGCTTGACGCCCCGCCAGCGGTGAAGCAAATGCTGGGTCCAGCCATGGAGGCATTCAGCAAGGTCGGAACTTATCGGCGCTTGAAGGGACATATGCCTCAAGAATCGCTGCACTGCGTGCATAGAGCGCTGGGCAGCTTCAGGTGTGCTCACATTGATCCAGCTCAAAAGCGGAGTAGAGAGTTCTAAATCTGCACACTGGCAGCACACGTCCTTCTTGGCCTTGAGGCGCTCAAACTCTTCCCGGAACTGGTCCAACTCACAATCCAACAGTCGGAGCATTGTATAAGGAAATGACATAGTCGGGAGAGTGAACCTTCTCCAGTTTTCTGCCATTGCCTGAATTGCCAATTGGAAAAAGGTCTGTGCCACAGCTGGTATACCAAGATGTGGGAAGTCCTTCAGGGTGGCGAGGTAATCATCAATCAGACCTTGTCCAAATTGGCCAGAAACGAAGCTGAGGAAAGTAGAGCTGGACCTGAGAAATGCAAGTGGCATTAGGTAGAAAAGGGCCAGTATTTCTTCTCACTTGGAACCAGAGCCAAAGCAGGTCGGCGACAAAATTCAAAGTACTGCAAAATTTGGAATTTACAGCTGGGAAGCGTTTTCTCGTGTTTCATTCGCTCGTCCATCTCAGACTTGGGTGTGCGGTGGAGTGCTGCCACCGCCGCACTTCTTGCAAACAGCTCATTCTCCAACTCATACATAAGCAGCGGCTGAGGGCTAGTAAAGGCCTTGTGAGAGGCGTCATATAGACTTTCTCATATCGAGCCCCAATGTGAAAGTGTGCGTATCCCTGCCTTCTGTGTGCAAACCACCCAGTGCGAGTGCTCAGGCACGATTTTGAGTCCGTTGGTCTCGGAGCGTGTCGGCCCACCATCTCTTGGACTGCTGGACGACGTAAACTCTACGGCGGGCATACACACAATTAGACCGACTGCCTGCCCACTTTGTGATGTTAATCATGCACTATCAAACCTTTTTGGCACCACTCGCATCACCAAGGCCCTTCTAAGCACATTTTGACTACATGTTGTCCACCCCCCTTTTTTCGCTCCCCCCCCCCACCAGGCTCTGGTTCACGCTACCCGCCACGCCCATCAA